TTACTGAGAAGTCAGAACAGATAGCCATACAGGTACCCCACTAAATCCATTCTTCTATCTCCTTCAATATTTAACAAATATTTACCAAGCATCTATTTTGAGCAAACATTGGAGTAAGTCCTCCCATAGATATGAAGTTGTATAAATAAGGATGCATGCATTCATGTAAATACAAGTTTAATGCTAGATATGTATTGTTTTAAGTACCTGACATGTATTAGTCTATTTATTCCTATCTAAGGGGGTAAGTACCATTGTTGTTTCCATCTTAAGCATGAGGAAACTGAGGCCAGAGAGATTATATGAACTCCTAAAACCCAAACTCTTAACCACAGCTTTCAAAATCTGTCTGGTTATAGTGGAGGACCCAATGTCAAAAAAGCAAGGGCTTTTCCCAGACCATGAATACAATGTGTGACAAATTAGCAGTTCCTCCCCATGCCCTAAGATAGTAAATATCCACCCAGGCCAACTGTGTCTGTCAGAGAACAGAAAGTGGGCCTGTCACACTGTTTTCTCCCAAGAGGGTCCATCTGCCACCGCTCCTTTGGTACACACTAGGGGACACACACTGTCCAGCATATTCTTGCAGAGTCATATCTTACCCCACATCTTATCACAACCCTGCTAAAGGTCAGGCACTATCAAGAAAATGTTCACTCATCTTCCCGTTATGCCCAATGTGTGAACTGATAACACATCTAAATTCAAAGAAAATCAACAGATGTCACCTCAGTCAACCTGAAAAGTCTGGTGACTCATTCCCACCCTTCTCACAGGGCTCCTGCTGGGCTGCCTAGTTCTCCTGAACCAGCCTCCAGGCCTCCTGCAGCCGGGGCACAGCTCAGTGTTGGAGCCCCCTCTCTGCTACTCATCAGATGAGTGTTGACTTTCTTTGGTGCAGACATTTGAGTTGCATTTGAATTGCAGAACGTGCTGCCCCCGTTCTGTGCTGACTGTGACCCCACTGCGTGTGCCCGGAGTCAGGCTAAACAAGCTTGCCTTGGAAAAAATAACAGGGAAGGAGATGCTGACTCTTCAACCCCTAGAGTAAGTTCTGTCCCTCTGGAGGTAAAGTCATAATATCTAAATATGGCTCGATTCCTGTCAGGTCTTATAAATACACACACACACGTGGATGCTGAAACCGTGCATGCCCTGACAGCCAAAAAAAAAATCAAAACGACTTACTGTCTCATTAGCAGGACAAGACCTGGTAGGCCAACTCACCAGAATAAAGGATACAAAAAACGGGTATTTAATTTTTCTACACACGCGTGAGCGCGCGCGCGCGCGCGCGCACACACACACACACACACACACACACACACAAAATGATGTAATGACCCCAAGAGAGCTGGTTGCCCTGGCAATGAAGAATCATTTGTGTATTCAGGGATTTTCTTGTTTAAATTTAAGCTAGCCACTTGAACTTCTCGAGCTTTCTTGAGCTTAGCTTTAGGTCTTCATCCCCAGACAGAGGTCTGACATCTGTGTCAGCCTCTAGCAAAGCAGGAAGCTTAGAAGTAGGACCAAAACCTCACAAGCCAGCCAGCCTGGCTTTGAATTTCAGCTCTATGGTTTCTCAGCTGTGTGACCTGGGTAAGCTACTTAACAACCTTGAGCCTTTATTTCCTCACCTGTAAAATGGGAATAATAAAATTAAAACAAACTTGCATGGGTTCATTATGAAAATTGGATCGATTAGATGACATAATACGTAGCAAACATTTAGAGCTGTGCCTGATTCTGAATGTGAGTTATCTGTAATAGTGACTTGAGATGAGTTCACACTGCCTGGCAGGAAACCATTCAATTCCTTTTTGTTTTTGACTTTAATCTTTGAAGCGCTTTCATCTCATTTCTTCTTCTTTTGTGTTTGTGGAGAAGGAGGATGTTTAGCCATCCTTGGAGTATAATCTTTTATTAAAAACCATTATTAAGTCTCTTCAAGTTTCTCTTTTGCAGTAAATGATCTAGATTACTTAATGGTTCTGTTTTACATGTTTTAATCATTTATTTGAACCGTCTCCAGATGTAGTACACACAGATATATTGTCTAGGAAAATTTGTTACTGAAATTCCTTACCATCTTTGGTTCATTAGCTCAAATGTTTAAAACCCATTGTGTCTATTTTTATTATTTAGTTAGTTATTTTGGCAAGACAGGGTCTCACTCTTTTGTCCAGGCTAGAGTGCAGTGGCACAATTATAACTCATTGCAGGCTCAAACTCCTGGGCTCAAGCAATCCTCCAGCCTAAGCCTCCCCAAAACTCATTATTCCTAAGAGCAAAGTTGAGTTCCATCATATTGTCAGTTGGTTTCTCTCCATCATATTGCCAGAACCATCTAATTCTCAGATGCATAGTTTAGGACAAGCCAAACCAGAAGAGACCATAGGTCATTCATTCATTCAACATTTACTAAGTGACTGCTGTATGCCAGAGGCTGGGCTGTGCTGTAAGATCACAAAGCAGATATTTCTCAGTTGAAAGAGCTTGCGGCTTGGGAGAGAAGACACAGAAGCAAACAAATCATTACAAATGCCTTTCCATTGGGTGCCATACTTGAAATGAGCAGGTGAGGCCAGGGTACCCTTGGGGCAGAAGGGAGGGAGGATTAAGCTCAGGGAACAGCTTTACAGAGAAGGTGACATTTGCACCATATTAAAGGATGGCAAGAATTGAGGAGTACAAAAAGGAGTATAGTCAAAGAAGAAGCACCCAGGGATGATTTGCACATTGTAAATTTAGGTAACCTTACATGGGCCTGCCGTGACTGAGGCCCAGGGTCAAGGAAGGGAGCAGAGTCATAAAGCTACCCAGGTCAGCCAAGGCCAGGCTAGGAAACCTGAGCTTTATCGTGCGGGCATGCAAAACCAGAGAAGGGTGCAAGAAGAGACATGGCACAGTCTGATCTGTTTTGCACAAATCACTCTGGAAGCAATGAAGATGGGAGAGTGGAGGTATTTGAGCTTAGAGTCAGGAAGGAGAAGTAGGATGCCGGGGTTGTGAGGAAAGACTATAAAACCCACACAAAGGAGGGCTGATGGAAAGATGGAAATCAAATTCAGGTATATTTAGGCCAGGTGCAGTGGCTCACGCCTGTAATCCCCGCACTTTGGGAGGCCGAGGCAGGCAGATTACCTGAGCTCAGGAGTTCGCAACCAGCTGGGCAACACGGTGAAACCCCGTCTCTACTAAAATACAAAAAATTAGCCGGGCATGGCGGTGTGCGCCTGTAGTCCCAGCTACTCAGGAGGCTGAGGCAGGAGAATTGCCTGAACCCCAGGAAGCAGAGGTTGCAGTGAGCCGAGATTGCACCACTGCACTCCAGCCTGGGCGACAGAGCGAGATTCCATTTAAAAAAAAAAAAAATTCAGGTATATTTAAAAGATAGTGTTTAGAGACCCATTAGTGGAAAATGCCAGATTTGAGAAAGGGGAGGAAAAGACACGGAGGAGTCCAGAAGAAATTTCCAGATTTCTGGCGTGGATAACTGTGAGGGCAATGGTGCCAGATAGTGCCAGAATGAAACTCATATAGGCTGGCACAAATCCACCTCTCAGAAATGCACCTCAGAGACACCCGTTCTGCTGAAGGTCAGTAGAGAAGGCCAACTTCATGTGCAAAGAGCAGTATGTGTATTTCTTACTAGCTATTCTTTTTAAAATACTTCTTAGTATATGGGACATACATGAGCTAAGATAGTATTCATGCAGGAGTTTTCATTTTTCATATTCTGGCAATTGTGTTTTCAAATATGAGATGCTAGCATTATTTCCGTTATCTATGCCTAACATAGTATGTATCTACGGTTCAAGATTATTAATTGTCTCCCCTGCCTCCCCACTAGAAGGTAAGCTTTGTGAAGCCAGGGATTTTCTCTCTTTTGTCCTCATCTCCATTCCCAGCCCCTAAAACTAAGTTTGACTCCCAATAGGTGCTAAATACTTACCGAGTAAATGATTGAATTTCCATGTGGGTAAAAAGAAACAGTCATTTCCTTTACTAATGAGGAAAGAAAAGGAAAACAACAAACAAACCTGGACTTAAAACAGTTTTTACACAAAGATCCAATTTGCAAAAATGGAACTGAAGTTTAAAAGCTATTTTTCTCCCTGCAGCCCTGCTTCTGGGAAAATCACAACTGCCAGCTTAGATGGTGGTTTTCACTGCCCGGTTACAAATTCTGCATGGTTGTACATATTGGCAGGACTCAGCTTCCTTAAATGCCATTTGATCAGTAGGGAAATGGTGATTTTCCTTATTGATTTAATGCCAGTTCCTCTTTTATGAAAAATCCCACGTGCTGCTCGCTGGCACATGTACCATAAAAACTGAACGTAGCGGGCCAGAAATTAAGCAAGTCACTCCTGTTCTTCTCCAGCCATGTGATGTTAAACCATCTCTACTTTCAGGCTGGAGTGTTCAATCACTCTTCCTTTAAATTTAGCGCAGTGATTATTCCTCCTGGTGGATTGCACATATGCTCCTTAGATCTACAAAATACTCATTCCTGGATGAACTTTAAGCTCCCAAGAAATGCATGTAAAATACTGTTTATAAATCACGGGAGAAATGTTTCACATTCTCATTACTCCCAAGTAGTCACACCAAACCTTTCTCTCCAAGATTCGCTTTTTTTCCTAGTCTTAAGAGGGAAGAAGAACTTTGGGCAGTAGCACTGTGACAGTAATCACCACCATCGTACTTTCCATGGGTTTTATGCAGTAGCCTCACAGAAGTGACAAATGTATGGTTGGGCGCAGTGGCTCATGCCTGTAATCCCAGCACTTTGGGAGGCTGAAGTGGGAGGATCAACTGAGGTCAGGAGTTCGAGACCACCCTGGCCAACATGGTGAAACCCCATCTCTACTAAAAATACAAAAAATTAGTCGGGCGTGGTGTTGGGCACCTGCAATCCTACCTACTCGGGAGGCTGAGGCAGGAGAATCACTTGAACCCAGGAAGTGGAGGTTGCAGTGAGCCAAAATTACACCACTACACTCTAGCCTGGGCAACAGAACGAGACTCCGTCTCAAAAAAAAAAAAAAAAAAAAAAGTGACAATGTAGGATACCCTTTCATTGGCAAATATTTACTGTGAGTAGAACAATGTGCTAAGTCTATAAACTGCAAAGAGGAGTGGGGCTCGGTTCCCATCCTCTGGGGCTTACAAGGTAGCTGAAGTAAAACTCAAACCACAAAGTGAAGTTAATAGTCACCAATGAACTACATAGTTAGTAAGCTCTCCACTGGTTCGGAAGAGGGCAAGAGTAACAAGACAGTAATCCTAAAGGAGATGGACTTGAGTTTGAGCTGGACCTGAAGTCAGGAGCTGGAGTGAGTAAAGGCAGAGGGGTGGGAACATTTGTGAACCAAAGCTCAGGTGGGGGTTACAGCAGGCAGGGTGGGGATAGATTGGGATGACTTTGAATGTTATGCCACTCTAAGGACTTCGGACTTGACTCTACAAGCAAGGTGGAATTATTAAGAGGTTTTGAGTAGAAATGATGTGAGCTGAACAGTGCTTTTGAGAAACTAAATCTATCAGGGATTGGTGCTCCAAATTAATTGGATGTGTTTCAGACTTGAGATCATGAGACCCTAACCCAGGCTGGGGACAGTGGGATGTCTCCATCATACATTATATTCCTGTGAATACTTCTCAGGGATTCATATGAAATTGTGCCTCAATGTGCCTACCTGTCTCTGCACTGTAAGACAATGATATTGTGATCCTGTGTGCTGCTTGGAACCAGCCTCATTCCTTTAGCACCCCAGTTTGGACTTGGAATAGGCCCAAGAGTGGCCTGTACACAAACCTCAAAGAATCCATGTGGCATAGATGTAAAAGCTGGGAGGAATCTTGGAGCCCTCCAAGTCCTCCTCTTCAACTTAGAAAGAAGCTAAATCTTGCTCATCTCCCCAGTGACAGATTCAGCATGTGGCCTCAGATCTTCCTGTGCTCCAGCAGTGCTTCTGAGGCCAGTTCAAATTCTGCTTTGAGGTGTGCGTGTACCAATTCTGGTGCAATCCAGAAGCATTTTGGACGAATGAAGGAGTTGTTTATGTTTTCTTGCCCTAATTGAGATAGTTGAAGCTGCTCTCCCTTACTCTACACCAAGCCCCCAGATCTGGTACCTCCCTGAGTCCCTGACTTCATCTCTGCCAATTCCCTGCCTTGCTGCTTCCCCCACAACACCCTATTATTTCTTGCATCCTGCCATTGGTTGTGTTGTCCTCATTTTCTGAAGCCTTTACCTCCCGTCTTAGGCCTCATCACCTCCAGGAGACTCTCCATGGCCTCAGCCCCTCCCTTAGGTGGACCAAGCTTCCTCCTTGGAGCTCCATGCTACCCTGCATAGGGCTCAGTCACTGTGTCTCCATGATGTCTTACAATTGTCTATTTGTGTGTCTGCCTCCTATCCTTCAACTGTGAGCTCCCTGAGGAAAGAAAGTGTGGGTACGCATCATTGAATACTCAGCGTCTAGCACAGTGCCTGGTACACGCTAGGTATTGAAATGTCTGATAAATAAATGAATGACAGTTGCATATTTGTCTTCTTGGTATATTCATTCATTTGATAAATATTTATTGAGTAATTACTTATAATCGAATTGGCGCTGTGTAGTTACACTTAAACATCAAAATAAACCTATCCTCTCAAGCTCCAAATTATGCATGCATAAATTATACATGTGAAGTGTTAACATGCACACGCAGCAGAGAGTGTGCGTATCTACAAATACCAGAGCTAGCAAATGAAATAAACTGTGTGCCAGATGTCCCGAAATTTACAAAGAACCAAGAACCAAAAATGACAGTTAGCTCCGTAAGCCCAACAAAAGAAAAAAAAAAAAAAAGGAAAAGAGCAAAAAAGCAAAAGAACAAAGGAACCTTGAGCATAAGGAAGTGGCTATGGTTTTTTCTACATGCTCAAGCCGGGGGTGGGGAAGAGTCATAAAACCTTTCTGTGCTGGACCGGTTCATGTTAAGTCTGAGTTCCTCAATCGCTGGTTCTCAGGAGCTGTTTGGAAAATTCATTGCCATGCACGAGTCGGGGGATTGGTTTTTTTCCACTGGAAATTGTTAATGGGGACTGCATTAGCGGCCCCTTATCGCTTTGCCTGATAGAGAGACAGCAGGTTCGCCCAAACAATTCTGGAATCCTGATCACTGCCAATTAGGGGAGTATTGTCTGGCTGACATAATCAAGTGAGTATAAATATGTTTACCGTGATTGGAATGGGGAAGGGAGACTGCAGAAAGATTGAGGCAGAAGGCGCCACCCACTGCCTGGCTCCAGCCCGAATCCAGCCCGGTTTGTCGCCCTGTGCTCAGCGGATGCGGTCACCGGCTTTCTGAGGTGGAATGCACAGTTGAGAATTCAGGACTAGAATTGCTTCTCCCAGAGAGGAACTTGTCTTTCCTTAGTTTTCCTCCCCTCTTCTTCTCTTTTTTTTCATGCTCACTTCTGTGAAATCTGAAAAGAGAAGAAAAAGCAGATGTCACGGATCACGTTTAATTCTGCCCCTGCCGGCCATGCTGTCCCCACTTACCTTCTCTGTAATGGAAAGTGATGGTGAGGCACAGTGCCCCGACTGGACCCCCCACCCTCTCGGCCCACCGGCGTGTACAAGTTGGTCCGGCATTGGGTTTATTTCGTTGTTGATTTGTGGAGCTTTGATGGGAATCCCTGTGATATGAATCAGCCCTGGGATTGAAAGACCCTGAAAAAAACAGTCCCTTGCAGTGGGCTAGCGATGGGAGGAATTGCTCACATTTCAACAGCTGAAAGGGAGGCATGTTTAAGTCACATCTGGTGGCGTTCCTATTGTCTGAATGGAGAGCAGGGTCTTTTTAAGCATCTGCCCAGATTTCAAAATGCAGGCGGCATCTTTTCTTCTCCAAACAAACGGTCAGGATTGGATATGAATGGCTGAATCGCATCATCATGGGAGAGGTCAATGACAAAACTGATCTCACGGCTGGATTTCAACCCTGGTCCGTCCAGGCCCAGTCGATCCAAGGCATGACTTTTTTTTTTTTCCTCTCACCCCTGACTACTTGATAATGGCCATTTCCAGGGCCAAGTTGATTTTGGCTGTTTTCCTCCATCCCCTGTGTGCTGCCCTGTCTCACCACTTGAGGGTTGAGGCCCCTTCCCAATGGCTACAACAGGATAAGGGGACCCTGTCCTTCTGTCTCCTTCATCTGATAGTTTGTCTTCACTGCTGCAAATGGCTCTCAGGCCTGCCTTCCTGGATTAGACAAAAACTATTTTCTTACTGGTACTGCAGATACCACACGTGGACATGTAAGTAGGAAGGTGCAGGTCCACAAATATATAAGGAGCCCAGACAGGAGAAATGTCATTAGAGAGATCACTCTCCGGAAAGGCATCTGACCACCCGTGTTCCTGCCTCTTCCTGCTACCATTTTCCTCCTTCGGCTGCTCAGAAATTGTCAAGGCCAAACTCCTTTCACCCAGATTCCAGAAATGCACTTGTTTCCTTTGCTTTCCAAATCTTAATGGATGAAATACTTTTTTTTTTGTCTTCTATCTCTCGCCAGAAATATTGTTTTTTTGAGAACCAGAGCTCATTTATCTCCAAGGGAGAAAGAAATTCGTTCCGTGTTTACCCATTAACAAATTACCACTTACGTGAAAATACTGGGACTTCCCTCATTCTTTGCTAATAAATGGATTATTCACCTTGGTTGAACCTTGGCAGAGGCAGATGGATAGCCACTGTTCCCTTCAAGTTGGCTTAATATTCTCTCGTTGGCTTTTGTTTCCTTGAAGCACAGAGATTTCTCAGTGCTTTCTTTGCTTGATTCTGCTTTTAAGGAATGTGCCCAACTTCTTTGAGTCTGTTTAGTAAGCTGAACTGATTAAATCCCTGGCGTTTCTGGAGGAGCCTACTGTGTTGGGTGCTATGGGTTCCTCCCCACTTGAAAGTTGAATGGAGTCACCCATCTGAATACTAACTCCCTCCTAATCCATTGGTTTTCCTACTGTGTAGACAGGGGTATGAAATAGCCATTTACCAAGATATAGTGCTATGTCATAAACCGAGCTTGAGTTCTAATGTTAGCAAGACCTGGTTTGTACAGTAATGCAGGCTTGGGCACGTTGCTGCTCTCTTTTGAGTCACAGATTCCTCATTATAGATGCTGATGGGAACAACAGAGCTGTCTGTTCATCTTTGCTCTTCTCCATAATGAGATAAAGCCAAACAGGCAGTGAAGAGCCTGGTCTAACCACATAACATTGGTGCAAATTATATACGGTCATAAGAAGGTAATTTTTACCTGAGCATTTAGGTGACATTTGGTGTGGTATTTGATGCATGTCATTTAGTTACAGAGATAAAACCTCCTGAACACACGTAAAGCTCTTGGCCTGGTTGAACATTACATCTCACACATGTTTATGCTTTTTACTAAGGATACTTCCTGCTAGGAAGTTATAAAAGAGAAGATGGAAGTCCATTTAATGGTATGTAGCAATATCAGTTTCCTGGCTTTGATACCGTACTATGGTGATGTCAGATGTCCCCATTGGGGGAAATGGGGTGAAGAGTACAGGGGACCTCTCTGTACTGTTTTTGCAATTTCCTGAGAGACAGAGGGAAAGAGAGAAAGAGAGAGAGAGAGGAGGAAATGATTATAGTGACATGAAAAAGGAGTGTTCATCTTGGCTTTCATCCCTAGCTGGACAAATATTTACATTTTGTTTGCCTCTTTGTGTAGATTTTGTGAATAGTCATGGCTAAAAGCTAGCGTTCCCTTTTGTGTGGCAGAGAAGAAAGAAAATAGAATGAGCTGAGAACCCCTGCCAACATTATATTAGAAAGCCACCTACTTCCTGCCTCTCCTCACTCTCCTTACCTATACAAACTTACCTTCTGCATCCTTGTCCTCCTCCTTTCCCATTCAAAGGCGAGATGCATCTCCTGCTGAACAAATAAACTCCTCCACCTGACCAAGGTGTCCCATCCCTGCCTGCTGTCTCCAAAGGCTCAGTCCTGCTACATAATCTCTCTAGGTGAATTCCTTCTCACTCAGGGTTTTCGCAATCATCTATATTGGAATAGCACCCAAATTTATGGCTCTACCTAGACTTTTTTGTTGAGTTCTACACCTGCATAGCCAACCCTTGACTGGGAGTCTCTACCTAGATCATTCACAAGCATTTCAAACACCCCTCTAATTATCTTCTCTTTCTGTATTCCCTTACCTCAGAAAATGCTACCAACATCTACCCTAATGCCCCCAGCAGGAACCCAAGAGTCATTCTAGACCTATGCTGTCCCAAATACTTCAATGTGGCTTGTCCAAATTGAAATGTGCTGTAAATGTAAAATACACACCAGATTTCAAAGACTTAGTTTGGAAAAAATAATGCAAAGTATCTCAATTATATTTTATATTGATTTCAAATTGAAATGATAATATTTTGGACATATTGGAGTAAATAAGTTATTAAAAATAATTTTCTTTTACTTTTTAATGTGCCACCAAAATATTTAAAATGGCATAGTAGCTGGCATTTGTGACTTGTTTCTATTTCTATTGGATGACACCATTCTAGACTCTTTTTTGTCTTTTAGCCCCCTTCCAACTGGTCATGATTCACAGTGATTCCCTTGAGTTAAGACAAGGGAAAATAGTGGTTAAGTGCACAGACTGAGTTTGAATCCTGGCTCCACCATTTTTTGATACATATGAACTTGGGTGATTATTTAACCCCTTTGAGCTTCACTTTCCTCATCTGTCAGCTGGATATAATAGCAGTTCTTATTTTGAGATTCTTGCATGCTTTAAATGGGATAATGTGTAAAGCACTTACTATGGAGATAAAAACATATGGAAAGACCCAGTGTCAAAAGAAAGAGCATCATTACTAGCCAAGACTACTGCAATGCTTTCTCCATCTTCAGTTCACCCTGCCCTCCAGTCCTTCATACTGCCATCTGATTAAACATTCCTGAATGCAAATGTTATCAAATTTCCAGTGACTTCCCATCATCCTTGGTATGAAATCCAAAGTCCTTGGCATGCTTTCAATGTCCTCCATGATCTGCCCCCAGTCCAATCACTGATTGCATCTCCTGCCTGTCCATGATTGAACCAGTTGGGTCCCCAACTTCTTGCACACACCATTCTCTCTGTGTGTCACATATGAGCTCTCTACTCTGCCTAGCTACTTGTCTGCAAGACTCAGTTCAACTGTCATCTCATTTGGGAAGCTTCCACTAATCCCTCCTGCACCTGTCTGCATCCTAGGCTAGATTAAGAGCCTGCCCTTTGGGTTCCTGAACCACTTGAGGTTTGGTTCATTTATCACACTGATCTCACTGGTTTGGCTGGCTTGTTTGTCTTTCCTATAAGACTGAACTGTCTGAGGTCTGAAGATGGGCTGTCTAGTCCACACTGGATCTTCATGCTCTACACAGGGCTTGACACAGAGTGGGACACAGGGAATGTTTGTTGAACGAATACGCAAAGCATATGGATACTCCTGAGAGAGAGAAGGTGGGCAAGGCAGCATTGCGAAGTTAAGCAGCAGAAAATCTGAAAACAAACCTGGGGAGAAATCACCAATTCCTGGAAGTACAGAGAGAGGAAGGGGAGAGAAGAATCTGTGCAAAGAGTCAGTAATGGAGGACTTGAAATGAAAGGCTATTAAAGAGAGAAGATCACTCAAACAACAGAACTGCATTTGGTACTGTTGGTGGTTTTATAACTTCCTCTGAAATAGTTCCAGGAAGAGACAAGTTTCTAGGATGGTGCAAATCATATAAAGAAAGGATAGGGTATTATAAGCCAATTCAAGGGATTGTCATCAGGACTAGATACATGGGTGGTACAAGTAAATGTCAACCTGGTGACTACATGATGGGACTAGTAATAATTTACTGGGGCTGGTGCCCAGGAATTTTTTTGCTGTGGTGCAGATGCCAAGCATGGAAAAATCTGACAAGTTATAGGCATGAGAAAGTAGATGGTGAATTTGAGAGTAAAAATGTAAAATGCCAGAGTAATCACAAGAGAAATGTCTGAATATGTAAGAGAGTTTAGAAGATTTCTGCTTTACCACAAATATGGACTTCAAGAAAAATTCCCTCATAAGAACAGAAATTCCACTATATAAAACCTATTTATCAAAACACACAGTATTCTATAATATATAATGGTAAAAGCATGCC